TAATTTACAAAGTGAACATCATGTTGTGTTAAAAAAGTCTTAAAATTAGCAAGTGAGACCATAAAGCCATGAGAAAAATGTTTATCGAGGTAACAAATCGAGTGAGATGCAGGGTTGTTTTCTCATAGACTTCTATACAGTTTTATTTGTTGTGCAACCTGGAGAGTCGCCCCCTGCTGGCGACTAGAAAGACTGCAGGTTTAAGGTACTTCTGTATTGACCTAAAATTTTACCCCTGAAGGTTACGTCCATTTCTTCTATACAGTCTATGGAGTCACTTTATAAGTGTCTTCAGCCCAAAAGTACACATGCAACAGTTTCCCAGCTTTCTTTAGAATACTCCAGTTTGCATAATTTTGTTTTCAAAACTGAGATAAGGGCTTATGCAGGTTTCCAAAATCAGGTTATAATATGTACATGCTCAAATACGGGACTCTTCAAAAATGCAGTCATGCCTGGTCCTCCCTCGTGTACAGTATTGATCTTTTATTGATCAGTATATCCTGTTACTATAATGCCACAGTTTAAATCCTCTTAAGGAAGGAAATACGGTGAAACCCTGGATGAGCAAGCTCCTTGTCCCATCATAACAAGCTTGCAGTTGAATACAAACTCCTCTGAGACACATTTTGAAAAGCTTGAAAAATTAAGAGCATGAAAAAACTCTGGTGCAAGAAAATTCCCAGCAGGCCGTGTGACATTTTTGCTTCTATACAACTTCATTGTCAAGAAAACAGATCAAACCATCGAATTAGTTCATCCGCCACATAACAAACAAGACTTCAGTCGTATTAAATGTGTTCTAACAACTGGTTTTTTAATCTCTTTTGCTTTTCCATTATCACTTCTTCATCTTGCGAACATTCGAAGGCTACCAACATTCATGACTTCATAGTAATTATTTATGGACGAATGAATTAACAGAGAAATTTGTCTGACACTCTGTGAGCTATTGTGCATTACCGGGAGGGAGAAAGCTACAAAAGTACAGAAGAGAGTTTCCTAAGTGTAAATTTTTACGGCGCACAAGGACAGCTTTAAGTACTACCAGTAGCGTTTTTTAATGTGAACCACTTAATCATTCACTGAGGCACAAAAACAGCGTCCACACACGTCTGGAGGATAACATGGCTCTGAGCAATACGTGAGTTATGCTGAAGATAACTTTCACTCCTTCTTTTTTAAGTCTACATGTCTCTCTGTTGTCTCGCTGTGTTCTTCTGTCTACGTTTCTCTTTGTGTCTCGCTGTCATATCTTTTTCTTGGTCCGCTCTCCTTCACCTGTTTTCTGTTTGTGTGTTGGTGCTTCACTGAGCAGTGACAGATCCTGCTGGGTATTCCTGCTTTTCACGCGAGGTGTCTTCATATGGTAATCCCTTCATAAAAGGACACACATGCCCACGCACGCTCCTCTTATTCGCTTGTCAGCCTGTCTAAACGGAGACGAACGCTTCCTCTGGTCAGCCAGTCCTCTGCATCTGTTCCCTCTTTGAACATTGTCATGTTCTCCAAAAGAAAGACAAAAAAACCGATGGAGAGAACAAAAAGGAACCGAGAATGATGGGCAGCTCCTCGTTGACATTTTGAGAATTGAGATAAAGAAAGACAGACAGAGAGTTAGTGGGCTGCTGCTGGATTGTTTTCAGCCGAAATCCTCAGAGAGTCCGAGTAGAGAAACTAAACAACAACAGAAAAACTGTCTGTAAAGACTCTGCTTGAACTGTATTAATTTTCGAGTTCACTCCATTTGTACAGCCAGTCTCTTCGAATTTAATAAAACAATACATGCAAATTTCCATTTCCATCAGCCATGTTGAAGAAAATACAGCTCCTGAATGGTGGAGCTTATTCAAAGTACATGAAGACAAAAGGACTATTTATTATTCAGCAGGTTGTTATTTTTATTTCATGTCGGCTAATGCTGATATTCTGTGCCAAAGTGTTTTGCAATGTGAATTAGTCATTTACTGGGCCTGTTGAGGCCAAATCAATGTCATTATTTATTCAGTGGAGGCATTTGCATCACTATTTATTCCATAATTTTCTTTTTTCTCAAAATACTTTCTCCTCTCAAGTGAGCAGAAAATTGTCTTCTGTTGGAGGGATGTCATCAGAATTTGCCATTTCCATTCGGTCGGAATAATTTGATACAACATCATTTACATAAAAACATTCCGGCGTAATCCCAGTGATTGAGGTAAATGTGAAATGTCTTTGTCAGAAAATCAGTTGGGAGGACAAACAATATTGTCTCTGGTGGACTAATCTAAGGTCATCAGGGAAAAGTAAAGAAAAAAAGAAAAAAGACAGGAGCTAAAACAACAACCACAGATGCTGCCTTTACAAATGTGTATGTAGATACCGTTTACAGCAATCAAAACCTGGTCTTAACTGTGGACACATGAAATACGATTTGCTGGACTTTTAACTTTTATGTAAATTTGGCCAAAAGGACTGTGCTTATTATTATTAAACCATTTTATTTATTTCATCTAAACATGCCAAGAATAATGAAAAAAAAAAATAATACTATGACTTTATCATTGGAGGCCACAGAGATTTCTTAAAGTGTGATGAAATCTGCAGTTTCACTCCCACTCTGCACGCTCCACTGGTTTAAAAAATAAAATAAAATGGGTGTTGAAAAAGCGGTGGAGAGTGCGAGGCAGATATAGAGGAGGGAGGAGGGTTACCTTCACGTGAACATTCGCTCCACACAACATTGCTGAGAGACGAATAGAAAGCCACTGAAAAGCACTCAACAGGCTTGAAATTTGAAAAAAACACCAAAACACAGTAGAAGTTTCTCAGTTTTTGCTACCAAGCTTCCTGCTATCCCACTCTACTCTATGTTTCAGCCCAGTAAATCGGAATATTTATCTGTGCCACCGAACATTTCTATTGAAGGGTTTGTCTCTGTCCATCTAAAATGTGAAGTAAACTTACACATGCGAGCACTGTGGGATAATAACATCAATAACAGTGAAGTGGTTCTAATGTTAATGAACTAAACCTATTTATATTCTATTGGTTTAACTCAAGATGCTTCTTTGGTTTAATTCCTTCATCCTTCATAATAGATGTCATGTATTGTCTTTCAAGAGGACTATTTAAAAAGGTGTTTCACAAGGCTCCACCTTAAGACATCTTCTTCTTTCCTGATTGTAAAAAATTGTGTCAAAGATGCTCAAATTGTTTTGTTCATCTTTACGCTGATGACACTGTGATTTACACCTCCACCTTAGACAAATGACAAATTCAGTGTCCAGTTTTAACTTGGTTCAAAACTGGTTTTATAAGGACAAATGAAAAAGTCCTGCACGGCGGTGTACAGTTGGTCATACCGATTTGATTCAAACATTATTTTTGATGATGGTCATCCATTGAGAGAGTTGTTTTATTTAAATATCTTTGACTTTGGAAACATTGTTTCTCAGTTAACATTCCAAGCTGTAAAAAGACGAACTTCTCAGTAAATATCATTGATTATGTTGATACTGTCAATCAAAACACTTCTGATCCTATCGGCTCCTCAATGGCGTTTTCAGTTCCTTATGTAGATTTGTCTTGGGTGTCTGTATACAACTTAATATTGTCTTGTGCATGATCACTGAATTGGTTGCAGCCTAAATCTAGACAGCAGTTTATTTGGGTCTGGTTAATTTTTAAAATATGTTTATTTTACCTGTTATTGCATCCCTTTTACTTCGTCCCTTGAGGTCAAAAGCAGGTCATTTTAATACAGAGCGCCTTCTGGTTGGAATAATAATTATCATTACCTCTTTCCACTGCTTCAGGTTATCTTTTTTTCTCATCTTAAAGCAAACTGTTCAAGCTTTTAATTTCAATATTTTGCTACAAATAATCACAAAACTGGTTCAGGTCATCCTTATGTTGATGTAATTAATGTATTATCTGGGTCATTGCAGCTGATTTTATTTTATTTTTTTTTACCATCGCTGTGGTCTGGGGTTGTGGGTGGGATATGATGAGTAAGCTGTCTGCATTTTTGAATTTGTATTGAACATTACCCAGTGTCGTGTTAGCACGTGTTTTCTAAGTGCATTTTTAAGACTCCCCTGAAAATAAGATGCTTCATCTCGGGGGGTGCATTCTTTCAATAAATCCTACTTCTTGACAAGCAGCACAAAATTCTCACACATTTGTGTAACTCCAGCCAGCAAAGTGTTGTCATTGCTATCCAGTGACATTATCTGTCTGTCAGTCTGTCATCGCCAAGAAATGTAGAATAAGTCCTCGCTCGTGTCCCTACCAGGCAACGGTTTTGTTTATGATTAAAACTGAACTACAAATCGCAACATTCCCAGTTCAGAATGCAGCAGCTCAGCCTCTTACTGGTTTTAGCAAACGACATCCCATCACCTCACTTCTGGCTTCTCTCCACTGGCTGCCTGTTCGATGTAGAACTGGTTTCAAGATTTCACTGATCACTGTTAAAGCACGTCTGGGTCTGGCCCCAAGCAACATAGCAGAAATGCTGGCCCCAAACGAGGCAGCTCGCAGCCTTGATCCTCAGTTGGGGCCCTTCAGGCTGTTCCAAAGTGGAGGCTTAAATCTGAAAGTGATGGTGCTTTTGCCATCAGGGCCCCGTCGGCTTTGGAATGACCTGCCCGAGTAGATTAGACTCTCAGAATGACGACTCCACATAAATCAAGGTCATTTTGTTGGACTTGCTTTTACATGGCCCCCTTTTACTAATTATTTAGCTTTAATTGCATTTATTTGTGTTTATTACCGTTGACAGATTTCAATTTGTATTTTTGCATCAGTCTCTTCTAGTTTTACCTTCATCTTAGTTTCACCTCAGTGTCGCTTTGCTTTGTTTGGCTTTACTAGCATAATGCTGCCATCTGGATATCTTGCTGTTCCTGCGTCAGTCAAAGTACTCTGTAAACCCTTACTTTTAAAAGTTCTACATAAATAACGGTATTATTATTACCAATTCAATCATTTTCAGCCCACTGATTTTAAACACTAACCTTATGGAAGCTGCCGTGGAAGATTTTTTTTATTTCCGTTCCTTCAAAGGTGACGGTCTGGAAGTCTCCTTTGTAGTCATAGTTGAAGAACGTCAACGTCTTTCCCGAGTCTGTGGGGAGACAGAGCTGGTGGTGAGGGAGAGGAGAGCTGATTGATGTTCACATGCAGTACAAACTTGACTTGGACACATTTCGGTCTCCTGCTATTAAACTCATATCAATACTTGAGCTGCACAATGTTCGCAACAAGCATGTAGTGCACAGGAAATAAAGATCATATTTAGAACTGATAAGGTACAAACTTTTCTCATCAGTCTCCTCTATATACAGGTCTGTGCACTCCTTGTTACACTGAATTGCATATAGAACATCTGTCAGCTTAGATTGACCAGTTTTTGTTTCCAGGTGTTGCTGAGTCCGACGTGCACTAGTATGTTGTCTGTGGAGAAAATCCTTCTAAGTTTTTCTTGATGACACATTTGTTCCGCCTGTTCTTCTTTTCTCCTCTGTGTGACACTACGCTGTTTTTTTTCCGGATCTGTTTGCTCACTTAATCAAGGCCCAGTTGGGAAAACCACAGATTTGTAAGTGCTTTCTTAGCACTTGAATGGGCCGTTAGTTTAGTCGTTGATTTTAGGGTGACGATGCAAACCCGGGACTCTCAATAAGCCGGAACTGAAGAATCCTCTTTGATAAAAGGTGAACCAGAAAGCGAAGCCTTCTGCTGAAACTCTTTGATCTGGTTGACTTGGACACTTTGGTTCAGTTGTACTTTATGGTTAATTATCAAGTAAGAATGCTGAATAGTTTCTTTCTGAAACACTACTTTTAAGCTTATTTAAAGATTTTGGATCAAAGTAATAGATTTGTTTTTTTTTTTTTTTTTGATATGCCAGTCAAAAGAGTAACCAGATATACTTTGTAAGTCAAACACAAATTAGTATTCGATATTTGCACTCCTTTTCTTACTAAGTAGCAGCATCATCTGGGAAACCGGAGCTGACAAATTGTTTTTCCCCTGCAGCGTCCTGCAGCGACTCCATGGGGACCCCAAAATCATCAAGGCCAGATGGTAATACGCTCTCTGCAGCGGGTCAGGGGTCTCCTCCAACTCGATGATGTCCGAAAAAAACCTCTGAAGGTTGACACCTGGGCTGAGTTCAGCTCATGTGCTGTGGTTCTGTGATATCGCTTATCACAGTCCAACACAAACACTTAATATAAAGAACTGCAGCTGCTACTTTATTATCATCTTTCCATCTGTTTTTACTTAAAAACTGGACCAACTGGGATCTTCAGGTATAAAGTCTAAGCCATTGCAGGATCAACAGCTGTGGTTTTGTGGTTATGGCTCTCTTCTCCATTCAGAAAGGGTTAAAAACCAGAAGAGCTCCTTTAAATCAGAGCTTTAATAACCACTGAGGTTGAAATGGAAGATAAAGATGCTGTTTTTTAAAGATACACACAGAACAGTGTATCAAAAATGCACTTAATGTAGCACCCCCGGCTGTAATTAGCGATATCTCTGCAGCTTCACTTCTAAAATCAGCTGCATCCTGAACTCTCTCGAAGAAAGCTGCAGCACACATCTGCTGTTCGAGGGCGTTTGAAAGTGCAGGTGAGACAAATGAACGAAGGTGAAGATTCACAAATGTAAGTGATTTCAAACTCACTGTCGAGGATTAGCCCCACCAACGGCTCGTTGTCCTTCTTGAGGATTTCCCACAATGCAAAGGGTTCCTGCGGGGTCTCAGGAAGCAGACGGAGCATCATAGAAATGGTGTAGTCGGAGGGTAACCCTTCAGGGTGGAGGTACCTGGTTCATATGAAAAAACAGCAGGAAAACACACAAGCATGTATTAGAGAGAAGTTTAAAAAAATCCACATAAACGCTGAAAAATAATGAAGCATTCAGATATACTGATTAATCTATACACCAATTTGCAGGTTTGTGTTGAAGTCTTGGTCCATTCAAATGCTGGTTCATTATAAGAGGAGCTGCTGCTTCCCTTGACTCCACCTGCACTCAGCAATATTTGCTTATCAAGTGTTTTTCCCGAATCCAACATGTTTTTTAAATTGCTTGCAACGGCAGCACAGCATATTTACACAACAGTAAAAAGCTACCAGCTAGATGAAGCGCTGCGTGTCTGTTGCATACTGAGCATTGCACACGTTCTGTTTTTTTATCTGGTCACTGAAAGTCAAAGAAGCGCTAAACTTTAGGTAAAACACTGAACTCATCACTGCTGCTTTGTACCCAGCTGTCCAATCACAGTGATGAGAGGCGGGACAAAACCACACCGACCAGACGTCACAATCTACTCGTACAAATACCGTATAACAGCTAAATGGCGGAGAAGTTGATACTACTGTTGTCTGAGTATCCATGTCTGAACCAGATGACATCCCCAGACTGATGCCAGATTAAAATAGAAGATACTACTGGGAGAAACAGTTTGGGTCTATCAGGTCAGCTGCAGTCAGTTGATCAGTACTTGCAATTTCCATCCATCCATCCATCATCTCTACACCTTAATCCTCACCAGGGTCGTGGGGGGCTGGAGTCTATCCCAGCCGACTTAGGGCAAAGGTCGGGGACACCCTGGACAGGTAACCAGTCTATCACAGGGCTACACTTAGAGACAGACAACCAAGCACACTCACATTCACACCTACAGACAATTTACAATCACCAATTAACCTCAACATGTTTTTGGACTGTGGGAGGAAGCCGAAGAACCCGGAGAGAACCCACGCTACACGGGGAGAACATGGAGACTCCACGCAGAAAGATCCTGGTGCCCCCATCGGGATGCGAACCAGCAACCTTCTTGCTGTGAGGCAACAGTGCTACCAACTGCGCCACCCTGCAGCCCACTTGCAATTTCTTCTGCAGATATTCTGGATTATTGCACCGAACATGAAGGAGGCTTGGTCCGTCTGTTTGTCTTTCTTTCCCTAAACTTATGCAGGCTGTCAGTAGTCAAACTCTGATTTCTGACAAAAATCTAAAATCTAACGCCTTTGATAACGATGTCCAACAACTTGGTCAACTTCGGCTGCAGGCAGCCTGCTGTCGATATCGTTCTGAAGTTGCAACAGAAAACAACTTGTAGCCGGCTGTCTGAAAACCGCTCATCCAAACGGCTTCAAACTCGGCACTGCACTTCCTCGGGTCCCCGACAACACAGCCGCCGAGTGTGAACTAGGTCAAATGAACGGTTCACGAGAAAGGTGGAGAGCAGATACACACTCAGACGCTGAGTTTTAGTTGTGCCCTGAAGGCATGTATCCACTAGGTGTCTTTTAAAAGTGCCATTGTCTCTTTTCAGCTGTTGTGAATGCTTTTAGGGTGCTTTCATCTGCCTCAGACTGACTTTGAGTGTCAGCCTCTTTTTGATCACAGAGTCTTGCCTTTTCTTTCTTTTTCTTTTCTTTCTTTTTTGTATCGTTGCCTTCGAGCACTTCAGGTTTAAATCTTCAACTTTTCAGAGCGCTCGACAATGTCTTTTTTTCACGAGCCGAACAATCACAGAACAGGAAGCTAAAGTTAACGGGGCCCATTATGCTCATTTCAGCTCCGTATTTTTAATCTGGAACACCGCTGGAATAACTTTGCATGAGTCACAGTACAAAGAAGTCCTTATTTATCTCACGCTGCCTCTTATTCAGGTCTTCAGTGGAGCCTTTATTAGTTCAGGACCCCCTCCACAAAACCCATTTTCTTCTGATCGGTGTGCTCCTGAAAGCTGACATTTACCGCATTATTTGAACTTCCTGACACCTTTAATGTGAACTCTTTTTTTCACAGGGTCATTTTATACTTGAACATGCTTCCTATAGTGCGGTGCAAGATAAGCATGAGGGCTTCTAACCTGCACCTGGAAGCATTGGTTCTTTTTCAGTCATTTCTTTCAAGCATCTCTTAACTCTGTACTGCCTGTGAATCACTCGCGGTCATGGTCTAAATCTGGAAAATTATACCCTCTTAAAAACACACAAAGCAAACTCATAATGAAACCTGACCTGAAACGCTTTCTACTTGCATTTTATTAATGACCAACTGGGCTCGGTCTAATCACACTGAGCACTATGATAGTTCCTATTTCGGTTTCCTGCGTGAGCTACGAAAATTAAAATTAAATGGAATTCAAAAAATATACTGTATGCAGTAGGCTCAACAGTGTATATCTATAATTGGAAAGCAGAGAATTAATCATAGCCGGATGGTTTTGCGGTGGCGTCTGTGTTGCTGTGGTCAGCTTGGACAAGCTGAATTACTGCTACTGATAATTATTTATTACACTAGAAGTAAGTTGCAGAGAGAGTCGGTTCCGTTGCTGCTACAGAAAATTAAACGCCGACATATACAGTAAGTGGTAATCGATGCATGCATCTATGTTTGTGCTTTTTAAATGGAAACGCTTGATAAAATGTTATTACAACTTTTTTTTTTTTTAGACATTTGTCATTTTTCTTGGACTTCATCTTTGTTTAGTCATTCACCCCTCATCCTGAGTTCTGACCGACTGATGAGGTCTTCCAGGTATTTATTTACAGACCAAATTACGCTGTTCATGACCCGCTCACGACTCCGATGATTAACGCCGTGAGTAGCTGTGAAACTGCCCGAGGAGGAATCTCAGGACTGCATCGTAAGTGCCTGATGAGTGGAGTCGTAGACCTCTTCCTCTGTGTAAACAGTTGTTCAGGTGTCTTCTACTAAAGCACTTAAGTCTAACATGACCTGGATGACTGAGAATCTACCCAGACCATCTATAATTTGGCTCGAGGTTTGTTTTTGTAATACATGGCTGCATGAAATTATAGTAATCACAATAATTGCTAGTATTATTATTGACGTATTGCTGCAATTCCACAGCCTTCAAAATCCCCACGGTTAGCACTGGAGCCAAACGTTGTTCAAGGTAGTAAGTGTAACATGCCCCAGATGTGATGACTGACGCTTAAATCCCTTTATGCCAAAAGATAATCAAAGCAAAGATTCAGGCACGTTAGCTTTAATGTTTCTCTATTAGCCAGAAAGTTTAGATGTTTTCATTGGCATGATTGCTGAACAGTTCAAAAGCCTGTGTGCTGCTGGCTGATAATTCAAAGTTCTCTGCTTGGACATTGTCCCGCTGACCACTGACTGTTAATCATGAGCAGGAGAGGACGGGACAGCCACATAGCAAGCAAACATAGACGGATAAACAGGAGGCTAAAAATAAATGGTTGGAAGAATGAAGAAAGCATGTGCTGTGTTTGTTTTTATAAAGTGTGTCTTTAACAATAATAAGATATGCAGTGGAGAAGAAATGATCATGTGTGCTGCATATTCAGACATATCTGTGTATTAACAACTGTTTGACTGCATATTTTAACAGAAATTGTTCACAATATGCAATTTCCAAGTGTATTTCCATGTATTTCCATTTTTGACGTAAAACTGTAACTATATTGATTTTAATTGTTGTCATGCCTTTGTTGGGAGAGACTGTCATGGATTTGCAAACTTGGAAAAATGTAGTGATTTAAAAGTATTCCCCTTTATTTTAGATCAGTATTTTGTAAAAGACACCGTATATCTAAGTTAATACAAACCAGTTGTTCTGCCTTTTTTCAAATTTGTTTGCATTTATTTTATCTGTACTATTATCACTGTAGGCGCATCATTTTACTAACATTGCATAATTTTTAATTGATGTCTTTTTCTTCTTTTTTTTTGTTAACAGCAGGTTAACATAAATTTATAGACAATTTCCTTTTTTCAATTACAGAACAAATGCCAGGTAATGAGCTGCCGCTACATTTTCTGTTATTTTATTAATGCTTTTATTTATATTTTATTGTACCTGTTTTGTTTTTTTTTTACTATAGATACATTATTAAATGTCCAGATTTTTTTCCTGCTCATTCAGCATTAAACAGCAGAACATGTTCTGTTTCTCACAATAGACACACTATAGCGTCACCATTCAAATACAGTGAATGTACGTGTGTTTTGCAGACACGCTGCTAACGTACAGATTCTTCTTTTTAAGGCATGGGGCAAATTCTGAGTAGTGAGCAGTCATTACTTTTTCTGTTGTTTTGTGTCTTGGTGTCTTCTACCAAAATAAGTCCACTGCATATATCTTTGATTACAAAGTGATTAATGAATGAATGTGTCTGTGATGATGATTCTTTTGATCGAACCGTCTTTATTTATTTATGCAATTTGTTCTCAGCCGTCTCCTGCAGACGAGATCTCCATCCTTGTGACACCTGAGCGAATAAAAACATCCCTGAACAAACTGTCACCTCCAGCTCGGCTAATCGTGACGGACAAGCTGAGCTGCACTTACGCTGTCAGCCAAGAATATAAACAGGAAGTCGTTTGATTGGTGGTTTCTTGGCTGCTCTGAGATTACTGTTTGACTTGATTACAGTGTTCTGATATAGAAAAGGAAAAATACATCATTGAGAACAGCTAAATTGTGTATTCAGCTATAACAGAGAGCAGGAGGCGAGTTAATAGAGGCTTATTTAAGCACAGTAATCTGGTCCAACATGATGCTATGATGCATAATTTCACTACCTGCCAAAGGAAAATCTGGGAAATGATCTTGTGCACAGATCTTTCTAGCATGTGCTGCGTTTTTAGATTCACTCACTTGGTGGGCTGTGACACCAGAGCATCCCGGTGTAACCTGTAACAGGGGAAGCTGTTGAATGAACCGGGCTCCAGAGAAACTCCGGGTATGGTGCTGTACTCCTTCTCCACCAGGCCAAACTTCTCCATCATACGGAAACCTGCAGCGGAATCATTCTCATCATGAAAAGCATCGACATCTGTGTCATCATAACTCAGGCTTCCTGCTCCAAACTCTGTGTGAGTTCACATAAAAGGAGGCGTTCAGCTCGTCCTGCGACTCTTCATCCGCAGAAAATGAAACGACTGTGTGCAGATGCTTCAGTCAACAGGTTGTTGTAATGGAGAACAATGAGGAATATAAAAAATGATGATGATGGAAACAGTGCTGTTTCTACAAATAATGCAAGAGAGGAACGCTGGTAGGAAACGTGTGTTAATGTTTTTATTTTACCAATCAGTGCAGCCGCTTATTTCTAACTGACAGCTGCACATTAAAGTCACACCTCATATATTTAAACATGATCTTGTACTGAAGTGCATTTAGGTCTGACACTGTCCCATAACGCTGGATATCACTTTCATTTTTGGCCAACTGAAGGTGAAATTAATGTAACTGATTGAACGTCTCTGTACTAAACCCCAGTAGAATAATCATTTTTCTAATCTGTGTTCTATCAGCTGCAGCACCGGCAGCGCAAATGGACCAAATATAAAATAGCATTTATGTGATTTCTGCATCACCAGCTGAATACATGTCAGGTTCCCATGGCAACATGATGCATATAGGTGTGATAGTGTAACTACACGGCTTCTTTCAGCGGTTGAGATCAACAGGTTTGCAGTTATATCACATTCCCTCAGCTGAGAATCTGTATCGCTCA